GCCCCAACATTCTTAAACCCAAATGGCATCACATGGTAGTGGTAGGTACCATGGTCGGTGATGAAGGATGTGTGTTCCCGATCAGACGGGTGCATCAGAATTTGGTTGTACCCAGAGAAGGCATCTATGAAGCTGAGCATTTGATGACCGGCCATGGCATCAACCAGCAGATCTATGCAAGGAAGGGGATAGCTGTCTTTGGGGCAAGCTCGGTTGAGATCGAAGTAGTTGACACAGAGTCGCCATTTACCGTTGTTCTTACGGACCAGGACCACGTTTGATAACTATCTAGGGTAGTCTACGTTCTTGATGAATTGTGTCTCAAGGAGCTTATCTACTTCTGCGGCAATGAGAATGTTGCGCTCTGGATGAAAGATGCGCTGCTTCTGGCGGAAGGGTTGGAAATGGGGTTAAATGCTGAGGTGAAGGAGGGGTCGATAGTCGGCATATCGGAGTGGGTCCAGGTAAATACATATTTGTGCTTGATCAGGAGGGCAGCAAGGTCGGCTTTTGCCTAGGTAGATAGTTGGCTGCCGATCTTGGCAGTTTTTGCTGGGTTAGTGGGATCGATGAGGACCTCGACAAGTTCTTCCACTGGTTCCCCCCTAACCAGCTCGTCCTCGTCTCTGACATCAAGTCCTTCAATGATCATAGCCTCCTTCAGCTTGACTTCTTTAAGTGAGGCGACATAACATTCTCTAGCCATTGTCTGCTCTTCCCTTACTGTCCCGACCCCAAGATTGGTGGGGAACTTGATGGCAAGGTGGTAAGTGGATGTGATAGCTTGGAAAGCGTTTAGGGCGGTACGGCCAAGGATGATGTTGTAGGCAGAGGGGCAGTCAACAATAAGGAAGGTGAGCAATTTTGTGGTCTGCCGCGAGTACTCGCCGATTGTGATGGAAAGATTGATGGAGCCGATGGAGGTCACCCGGTTGCCAGTAAAACCGACCAAAGGGGTTTGGAGAGGAGACAGACTTTCTTTCCCGATTTGAGCTGGCGGAAGCAATTGAAGAAGATGATGTTTGAAGAACTGCCGTTGTCGGCGAGAACCCATCTAACCTTGTAATTAGAGAGGAGCGCGAAAATGACGAGAGGGTCGTCATGGGGGTAACGGATGCTTGTGCAGTCGACGTCCGTAAAGGTCATAGGCTCGGTCCACTGCGGGGACTGTTTGGGGGGTCGGTCCAATGTGGCAACTTCTTTGTCTGAGCCCTGCCTTATTTTTCTGAGTTCTGCCCGCTGAGCCAAGCGGGATAGTCCTCCACAAGTAAGCCCACCAGAAATAACTCTGATTTCTCCAACAGGCGGGACAGGGTTGCCTTGTGCCCGAGGTTGCTGTGGAGGGCGATCATGACCTTGGTTAGGTTGTGCTGGTTGTCGGGGAGGGGTGCGCCGACGGTTGTTTCTGATGGGTTCAGTTCGTGGCCTCTGTTGAGGCGAGTATCCGTGAATTGACTGAGACATCCTTGACGAATCAAGCGCTCGACCTGATCTTTGAGGTTAACACACTCCTCGGTATTATGGCTGTGGTCCTGGTGAAAACGACAATATTTGGACTGGTCTCTTCGACTAGAAGGAGTCCGTGATGGTTGATGCCATTTTAGGGGGTAGTCTCACTGAATCTGATTGAGGACTTGCTCCATGGGGGAATTGAGGGGTGTGTACCGCTCGAATAGCCCGGGCAGTCGGGCTGGTGCCGACCAGTCGGCTCAGGGGGGTCGGTCGGTATACTGACTTGTTGGGTTATTATACTGGGTATTTCTGGTTTCTGAGTCTTTTCGCTTTTCCCGGGGGGTCGGGTTTTTTGCTGTGGGGTCTTGGCGAGCGGTTAGGGAATATTTAGCATTCATGTATTTTTGGGCTTTGGAGAATAGGGTTGCCATGGAGGCCGGGGGTTTTTGGAGAGGGAGAAAAGGAAGTTAGACGACCGTAGACCGGCCATGAAAGCCGTAAGGATGACCTTGTCATCGTTTTTCGTTACCTGTAAGGCTTCGGTGTTGAAACGGGTAACGAAACTACGCAGCGACTCCCCCTCGGTCTGACGGATGTTGAGGAGTTGGGTTGCTGGACGCCGCTGGCGCTGGCAATGAAATGGCTGAGGAAAGAGTCACAGAGGTGCTGGAAAGTAGAGACAGAGTCTGCTGGCAATTGACTAAACCAAAGTCGAGCTGACCCCTTGAGTGTCACGGGAAATGCCCGACACATGATTTCGTTAGGGAATGCATGGAGGATCATGAGGGTTCTGTGGGTCTCCAAGTGGTCGACTAGATCCGTCGTACCGTCAAAAAAGTCGATGGTGGGCATTTTAAACTTAGGGGGTAGAGGTTTGTCCCGGATGAAGACGACGAATGGCGAGTTGGCCGTGGTGGATGGTTTATGCTGTATGTTTTGCATGACTCCTTGGACCTGGAGTTTCATGGCTCGGAGTTCTGCATCCCAGAGAGGAATGTTGTCACCACCGGAGGGGAGCGGGGGCTAGATGCTACTGGCCTTTCCCTCGGAGATTGGTACCAGGGCTGATGGGTGTGGGGCCTGGGGTGGCAGGTTTATATCCGGGAGGGGAGCTCGCAAGTTTTCCAAGTTGGGTGGGTTAGGTTGCAGGATAGTATGGCTCGGGGCTCGTTCTTGGTTGGGTGGAATATCTGGAGGCGGTGGAGGAGGCATAGGAAGGTTTCTTTGGAGTAGAGCATTAATCAGGGCTTGGTTTTGCTTGGCCAAGCAGTTAATGCTGTTGGTGAGTTCGATGAAATACTGTGGTGGGTTATTCGGATTGGGAGGCGGCTTGATGATCGGAAACATTGGGGTGAGAAGCCATGGATCTAGTTGTGACCATCCACCTTCACAGGTGGTAAGAGGGAGTTATTGAGAGATGGTTTCCGGCGACAATGAGCACAATTGACGCGCAAAACAAAAACCTTTCCCACAGACGACGCCAACTAATGATACAGTTCGTTCCAAGTGGAACGGGTAGGACTGATCCACGCTCCTCGAGCCTATGTCCGAATGACCAAGCCCACCAGAAGACTTGCACAAGAGTTCAACGGGGAACGGGGAGTCCCCTAACGAACCCTCCGACGAGTAAGTTAGAAAGAGAGAAGTGGAAGGTGTAGATAGATTAGAGAAAGAAAAACTTAACCTTCTTTCTGTCTTCGACCTTTACTTATATCGTCTGGTAATCATTTCGTTGTCCCTTCCGACCTGTCACCTTGGCCGAAAGTCTATGCTCTAGCTTACCTTGTTCATGGTGAAGGCGTTCTGTTCCGACGGAGAGGGGTTATCGCAATAAATGCTGTAAGGGGCCTCATTAATGGCGATGTGTCGTGGCAATAACTTTGCAGATCTTTGTCTGCTGATGTGGCTTGCACTTCTCTCGCCATGTGTTTTGATGTCATTGGTTTTTATTGCTACATGGGGCTTCAGCAGTGTTGGGCTTCAGCATTTGAGTTATGTATTGGGCCCCAAATAGTGGGCTATAATCTTTATAGGCTTACCCATGTCACTCTACATCAGCAACTAATCAGACCAGACATCAACAACAAACCAACAGAGCACCAGAAGGGGGCATTAGCACACCAGAGCACCAGAACATCACTTATGTAAATTTGTGAAAACTTATGTAGTTTTATGTAGAATTACATATGATTTGCATTGTATACCAGAACATTTCCCTTTCAACAACTCCTCTTATTTGCCACAAAAAAAAAAAATAAATAAATAAATTGAGAAGCTTTGCTTCATGAGAAGAATTGTTTGTATTGGGAAATATTGGGATAACCACGATAAATATTGTAGATGGAATAATGTGGTAAAATAATATTAACCATTAATATGATAGATGAAATAGAAGTATGAATAGTATCACTATTCATGTTTTACTATGATTTATTTTGAAAAGTAGATTAAAAACTAATTTTTTGATTTTTTTAAAACTTTTTTTTTGAAAAAAGTGTAAAAAAAATAGAGAGGTAATGTGATTCAAAAAAATTAAAAAGCCAAAAAGCTGGTTTTTAGCAGGTTCCCATCGAAGTTTGTAAAGAAGAGAAGCGTGAAGTAGGAGAGAGAAAGAAAGCCGAAAGGAAAAAAGAAAAAAGTTCAGAAAGGGAAAACGAGAAAAGGTGAGGACCATACTGAAATGAATAGTTAAATTATTGAATAAAATCTATATAATAAGGGAGAAGGGTTTTTGAATTTGTGTGAAAATGTATTAGAGATATATTTCAATTTAACGGCTAAAATGAGTTGTTTTTAACCATGAAGGGCTGAGATGCTTTGTGATGTTTTCAACGTCTCGCCCAAAACAATCCTCTGTCTCCTACACCCAAACATTATTTACACTATCTCTCTCTCTCTCTCCAACTTCTCAGGTCTCAAGAGCTCTCTCTCTCTTCCTCTCCACTGCCGCTTCGCTTCCACCGTTGCGTCGCCTCTGATCTCCACCGGCAGCCACTCTTCATCTCCTTTCCCTCCCAGATCTCAGATCGTCCTCCGCAGTCACGATGTCTTCCCAAAGCAAACGCAGAGAGATGGTGAAACTGATAGGGTTCTCTCTCAGATAGGGTTCTCTCTCACTCTCTCTCCTTCACATTACAATATGCAAACATTAGATCTCTTTCTCTTTCTCTCTCACTTTCTATGTGTATGTATAGGTGATGTTGTGGCAGACTCTAATTCGTTTGGTGCAGGTCGGGAACTACTTCACCAGCGGTGGCGATTGATTCTGATTGATTCGGGGGCGAATCGGGTCCCGCCTTGCATCAACTGAATCGGAGACCGCCGTGAACTTGGTCCGCCGAGACTCGGTAATGAGGACATTTCAAATCGTTGAATTTTATTGAATTGTTACCGCTTTGTTGATTTGTGGTTCAAGATCAACTGGATTCGTTCATTTCTAGGTTTGATTTTCATTCTTTGGCATTTAAATTCGCTTCTGTAACTAGAGATTTGAACAATTCTAATAGGCAGAGCCAGAAACAGATGAAGTCTAAGCACAGATCACTTTACACCCAGAAGCAGATGTGAGCTTATTACTGTTAAATCATTTATTTTTATGCCTTGCAATATTGGGAAAATTGGGTTTTTAAAGTAATTTTGTGTGTGTGTGAATGTTTTATGGTGATGATAATAGCAATCTGAACCTACAAGTCCTGATCCGAGCCCACCTGAGCAACCGAAACAGACTGTTCATTCTTTCTGTAAAATTTTAACGGCATCTGATACTAGCACCCATGGAGGGTTTTCTGTTCTTCGGAAGCATGCCAACGAATGCCTGCCACAATTGGTAATTTCTCTCATTTTCATTTCCCTCTGTTTGGTTAGTTATCTGAGGAAAAGAAAAAACAAAATTGAAATTATGTTGATGTTATAGTTTCAAGAAATTGGAAAGCAGGCCTAATATATGGGAAATTGGTTGTAATTAGTACTGTTACAGTGGGGTTTTGATTACTCACAATTGTTTGGATTAGGTGATTTGGGGAGAAAAGAAAAGTTACTTTTTTATAATCTCTTGGTGATTGTTAGTTTTGTCTCTAAAATTCTCATGACAAGTGGTTTTGATTTCTCCTTAATCACGTAATAAACCTTTTTTTGTTCTCTTTTCTTTTTCTCTCTCTATTTTTCAAACGATTGGGGATGATAACGGTCTCTTCTCTCTTCTTTACCCAGCTAAATTATTCAAACATTTGAGTTGCCTTTTCATATCCTTCAGGACATGACCCAGTCAACCCCAACCCAGGATTTGGTTGCCAAAGATCTTCATGGGCATGAGTGGCGATTTAAGCATATATTCAGAGGCAAGTCCCACCCTTCTTGCCATTTGCTTCGTGCCTTTTTGCCATGTTGTCATTTAATTCAGGTATAGTCTATAGATAACATACTGAGAGGTGAAATCTATATTTCTTTTCCTTTGCATAAATTGATGATATCAGGTCAACCTCGAAGACATTTGCTTACAACAGGCTGGAGTACTTTTGTGACTTCCAAAAGATTAGTTGCAGGGGATGCTTTTGTTTTCCTGAGGTATTCGATACTTGATTTTTAATTGGTTTAGTTATGTGATTGCCAAGGAACTATAAGGTATTTTTATTCTAGGATTGCCAAAAGGTTTACAAAATAATAAGTTGAAATTTGTGCTTAGCTCTGTACTTATTCTATAGTTGATCCTTTAGCTATTGGTTGACATTGTGTCATGCATTTTATATTTGTTTGAAAATTGAGTACGTTGTGATTTCTGAAATGGGTTTGATGGGTTTTGATTTCTGAAATTTGATTTCTAATTTGATTTCTATTGGGTTTGATGGGTTTAATTCGCAGAAATTCGAAGTTAAATGGATTTATAATAATTTGATTTCTAATTTCTAATAATTGTTGTAAACGCAGAGAGATGGTGAAACTATAAGTCTCTACCTTTAATTTGGTGTAAACTATTTTAATTGTTTTGGTTGGAGTGGTTGTGATTTCTGAAATGGGTTTGATGGGTTTTGATTTCTGAAATTTGATTTCTAATTTGATTTCTATTGGGTTTGATGGGTTTAATTCGCAGAAATTCGAAGTTAAATGGATTTATAATAATTTGATTTCTAATTTCTAATAATTGTTGTAAACGCAGAGAGATGGTGAAACTATAAGTCTCTACCTTTAATTTGGTGTAAACTATTTTAATTGTTTTGGTTGGAGTGGTTGTGATTTCTGAAATGGGTTTGATGGGTTTTGATTTCTGAAATTTGATTTCTAATTTGATTTCTATTGGGTTTGATGGGTTTAATTCGCAGAAATTCGAAGTTAAATGGATTTATAATAATTTGATTTCTAATTTCTAGGAGCCGTAAAAACTCTGTTTAAAAAAAAAAAAACTGAAAACTCAAAATGGAAACACATTTTTTGTGTTTTTATTTTTTGGCCAAATTTATAAATTGAGACCACTAATTTATAAATCAAAAATTTTACCAAACAAGTTTTTATTTGAGTTTTTAAAATTTTTGTAAATATAAACAGAAAACTGAAAACGTAAGTGTTATCAAACGGCACCTAAAAAACACATTTAAAAAATTTTTAAATTATTATTTACCAAAAAAGGGAAAATCATATAAAAATAATGAGTTATTTTTATTATTATTTTTCTTTTACCAAACTAATTTTTGAAATTTTTAAGGATTTATTTTTTGAAAACTCAAACAAACAAATTGAACCACAAATCTTGATACAGGTTCATTGATTTTTTTTAATCAAAAGGAAAGAAAAAAAGTTGATATTTAAAATTTATTTTTTTTTTTGTAAATTGTTTATGTGAGGCTTAACTTAATTAATTGATAATCACTTATTTCTGTGAGGCTTCCCTTTTTCTTTTCTTTTTTTTTTTGTGTGTGTGCTATGTACGTGAGTTTTATTAATAGTTACTTATTTAGATTAATATGAATTTGCACTCTCTTTATATGAGTAATATAGATTGATAGTAACTTGATTAATTGAATTATGTTAATCTTATGTTATTGTATATATATTCCTTTTAAATAAAAACAACCTCCATATTAAGGTAGGCTGCCACGTGGGCAGTTGGTAAATTTTTGGATAAATTAGGGAAGCTCTCTATATTTATTGAATGAGAAAAGAAGTTTACACTAGACAAAATGAGAAAAGAAAATAGAAAAATGGACATTGACAAAATAAGAAAAGGACACCAAGTGAGTTGTTCATTTTATATATATATACATATGTATATTTCACGTGTACCTAATATGGAGTCTGGATCCTCTCTAGCCTTCCTCTCCAGCTCTTCCTCCGGTCGACGAATAACCACATCAGCCATGACACAACCTACGGTTGAGATTAACTATATAAAAAAAAAAATTAAATTCATTTCCACACGTAGGCATTCTGACAATCTGCCCCGTCCACCACTTACACACTATCTATCTATCTATCTCTCTCTCTCTCTCTCTCTCTCTCTTAATAAAAAATTAAAAAAACTATTTTAATCTTTCTAATTTTATTTCATAATATATATAATTTTTAATATAAAATTTTAATTTTACAAAATTAATATCAATAAAAATATACCTTTAAAATGAGACTGATATTAAGGGGCAGTTTGAAATGTTTTAAATAAGTGTACTTTTTAACTTTTTATAAAAAGATGTATAGAAAAGTAGAGAATTTAATAAAAAATTAAAATAAATAAAAAGTAATTACTATGTTTAGTTATATTTTGAAATTATTATTTTTTAAATATAAAAATTAATTTGATGAAATAAACACACAAAAATCATATATTTTTAAAATTCTCAAAAACCAACTTCATTTAAAAAAAAAAAAAATCATATGAAAATAAAAAAACATGCTGCATTTTATTTGCACCTATGCACAGATTAGATTTGTGTGTGTGTGTGTTTTTTTAAATGCAAAGATTGGATTTGTGTGTTTTTTATTTCCTTTAAAAAAATTATTTTCATATGATTTTTTTTTAGGGAAAACTACCAATAAATCCCATAAGTTGATCTTATGATCCATTCGGTCCCAATTTTAATCTAATGTCCCGTTTGGTCCTGTGTTGCGTGAAAGGACATATTTGCCACAGTGTTTAATGTTTCCGTTGTTGGCAGATGGAAATGGCAGTGTTGTTGGCGCGTGGGGCAACGTGGTTTGCAAAGTGTGGGAAGATGATGTCAAGTGACACGTAATAGCGTGTCACAGATTGGCAAAGCGTACTAAGGGGTTTTATAATAGTAGTAGAGTTTTTGGTAGTTGTTTATGTCACACATTCGGGTTTGCCCACATAACCGAACTACAACCCGTTTTACAACTCATTTCATACATCCACATCCCCACATGTATAAAATGGTTACCCGTTTTGTATTTCCCACAATGAAGAAACCCTAATATAGCGATTTCGTGTATTCGGTAGATTTCGATTGACAGCATATTCCGTTGCGTGATTCGGGAGAGGGAGGAGCGATACTGAAGCCTGGTTGCAGCGTTACGTTGATTGAAGGTTTGTGTGACATTGTCGGGCGTTCAACGTTTCGGAACCCTGTTCTCAGTTTTCTGTGTTCGTTGGGTTGTCAGACATCTGCAATGGCCGAACAAGGTATGCCACCTAACATTGGTTTTGAAATATTTGTGTGGGGTAATGTCTTACTTTGGTATTTGGTGTTTTCGTTCGGATTACCGGTGTGGTCGGTTGTGGTTATGTTTAATCGAGCAGTTTTTTTGGGTGTGTGTTTTGTTTTAGGGGGTATTTGCGATGTGGATGTTGGGCGTGTGGTTTTGGGTTTGTGGTGGGATAGTGTGGTTGTGTGTTTTGTTTTTATGCATAGTTGGTTTGTGGGTTGTGCTTGTGATGATGTGTGTTTTTGGATGGTTGTGTGGCTGACAGTTGTGGTCAATGTAGTGGTATATATTGTATAACAAAAGTTGGGACCACAGGAAAGGGTATATTTTTTTAGTGGTTTGTCCTGCATATGTAGAGGTGGGATCCCCACTTTTTTTTGGTGCTGCAGAAAGTAAACGGGTATAGTTGTGGTTCTGGTACGCGGGTGTGGATTGTGTAAATTTGTGCATTTTATTTCTGGTTTTGGAATTAGGTTTGGGTAGTTGGTTGGGTTTGTGTTTTATGTTATTGTGTGTCTTGGTTGTTGTGTGGATGTGGGGTTGTGTGTTGGTAAACTGGACAGCATTTGAATGTGGTACATGGGTGAGTTGGTATTTGGTTTTGTGAGTTGGTATGTTGTTGAGTCTGAATGGTTCGCGTTTCGTAAGTCACATAAAATAGAGGGTGTTATGTGGTTTGTGTGGGTCTTTTTTCCTGTAATGACTTTTGTACGTGGTTGTGTGGCATGTATGTGATTTGAACTGCATGGTAAATGTGTTTGTGGTTTTGTCATGCAGATCGCGATAGGGTAAGGAGTCCGTGGACACGTTCATGTGAACGTAAACGTGTTGAGGGGCAAACTGGGTCAAATGCAAACAACCTTGGAGTGAAAATGCAGGGGCGAATCCTATTCAAGCAAGCTAAAATAAGAAAAAGTGAAGATATGCAGTCTGTGGGTAAGCTTGTAACGGGGTGCCAGCCTAAACACAACACGAGGATGAACTTCCGTTCAAACATTGCAGGGATAGTGAAGCTTGTTAGTTTGGCAAACCTGCAGGAGGGACACTTGAATCAGTTGAGAAGAACACCATTCTGGGTTATGATAGAGGCGATACACGTCAACAAGTTGATCCATAACGAATTCCGAAAGTGTGATGAGTTAATCTGCAAAATTATAAAGGCATACAATGAGCGGGAGAATGCATTCAGCATTGGAGGTTCAATGGTGAAACTTGGTACCAGTGACATTAGGTTAATCTTCGGATTACAATGTGGGAAGAGGCGCATGGACTTGTCACCTGGACAGAGACCAGCATCGGACTTCATTCAACGTAGGTGTTCTGAAACTTCACGCATAACATCGAAACTAGTGAAGACGTTATTTTTAGAGGCTGTTAGTGGTCATAGCAAACAAGATGAGGAAGACGCTGCGAAATTATTAGCGCTGTACATTTGTGGGAAGCTTTTTTTTGCCAACTCCGGGGAGACAATAAGTTGGACATTTGTTCGTTATTTGAACAATCTGAATACCGTACGGATGTATGACTGGGCAGGCGCAATCTTGTCAACGTTGATGGGGTCAGTCAAGGAGTTTCATAAAACACCGGGAAAGGTGACCGGCTGCGTGGTTGCGTTGTTGGTAAGTGTGTGACTGAATGTTTTGTGGTTATTGTCTTGTATGTGTGGTTGGGTTTATTTGCACGTTTAATTGGATTGTTGAATTTTGTGTTGTGTGTGTCGCAGTATTGGTTGTGTGAA